AAGACAGCACAGCACAAGCTGATGCGAACTTTGTGATGACACAAGCCGGTAAAGTTGTTGAAATTCAAGCAACGGCCGAAGAAGCTCCTTTTGATGCCGAAGCGTTTACAAAAATGTTTTCCTTGGCCCAAGAAGGCATTACAAACTTGACACGTTTGCAAACACGCACACTCCTTGCCCTTTCAAAAGAAGATTAAAAAATATGACAACGTTAAAACAACTCCTCATTGGCACAGGAAATCCTGGAAAAGCTTCAATGTTGCACAATCTTCTACAAGGTTGTCCTTCTTTGCAGTTGAAAGCTTTAAAGGACTACCCTGTTAAAATGCCAGAAGAAACAGGAGAAACATTTGAAGAGAATGCCCTTTTAAAAGCACAACATTGTGCCGAACAAACAAGATTACCTTGTATTGGAGACGACTCGGGCCTTGTTATCCCTGCTTTAGGGGGAATTCCTGGCCTAAGGTCTGCACGTTGGTTTGATGACTTTGAAAGCCCCAGTGCCTTATTTTCACATTTAGAAAAAGAGCTTCAAGGAAAAGATCACCGAGCATATTTCCACTGCGCTCTCGCCTTTTCGTGGCCTGAAGAAAACGTTTACTTTACTGTGACGGGAAAAGCCTATGGTACACTTGTTTTTCCTCCGCGAGGAACTTCAGGGTTTGGCTATATGTCGATCTTTGTTCCCGATGAAGATCCAGAAGGACGTACCTATGCTCAACTCCCTGAGGGAAAGATTATTGGATATCACAGAGCTATTGCTGGGCAACACTTAATCGATCAACTCGCACCTTATTTTCCTCGGTCATGACAAACTCTCTTGGTTTTATATTCATTGGCCTTTTTGCGCCTCTAAATGCCCTTACTGTGATTTCAATTCTCATGTAAGAGAACGTATTGAAATTACCCCCTGGCAAGAGGCATACTTCCAAGAGCTTAAGCATGCAGCAAACCTCTCCCCTAACCGGCCTATTGAAACCATTTTCTTTGGAGGGGGCACACCTTCACTCATGCCTCCTAACCTTGTCGAGAGTATCTTAAAAGAAGTCCATAAGCTTTGGCCCGTTTCTAAAACTGTAGAAATCACTCTTGAGGCGAACCCAACTTCTGTTGAATCAAAAAAGTTCCAAGATCTTAGTATCGCAGGCATTAATCGCCTTTCTATCGGCGTTCAATCTTTTAATGATGACACTTTAAAGTTTTTGGGCCGCCAACATAACTCAGAACAAGCAAAAAGCGCGATTGCCCTTGCGGACAAGCATTTCCCTCGATTCTCTTTCGA